GGATGTTGATTGTGGATCCAAATAAGATGAAGTCGTTGACAATTTCAAACTTTTCTCCATCTATCATGATGACATCTATTGGTCAAGTGGTAAGGATTTTTGTCTTCTTTATGTTGAGATGTAATCTATATTGAAGGCTATAGTTTTTTTTATCTTCTGCAGTAAGCTCTTCAAATCCTCATCACTTTCTCCAAGCAAAGTTGTGTCATCTGCTTAATGCACACTGCTGACAGGTCTTCCTCCTATCCTGTTGTCACATTTTTTCTTCATAAAGTCTAGCTTCTTGAATGACTTGTTCAGCATATATACTGAATAGGTATGGGGAAAGGATACAGCCCTGATACACATCTTTTTTATTTTCACCAAGAAGTGTTCTCCTGCTCTGACTGGACAAGTTTTTTTGTCTAGGTATAGGCTTCATATGAAACTCTTGCAGGCACTGTGTCAACAGAGCTCATTGAGGGTTTTCATCTCTTTCTCTGACCCTTTCCCTTTCCCAGCATGATGACTTTGTCCAAGAACTGGCGCCTCTCGACAATATGCTCAAAGTATGTGAGAGGAAGTGTCACCATCCTTGCCACTAAGGAGAACCTGGTTGCAAATCCTTCATCACAGATGTGTTTGTTATTTTGCAAGTCCATGATATACCCAGAACTCTTTGCCAACAACGCAATTCAAAAGCATCAGTCTTTCTTCTATACCTTCCTTATTCATTGTCCAACTTTTAGATGCATAAGAAGCAACTGAAAATACCACGGCTTAGAAAAGGTGCACCTTATACAATCCCAGAGGCACACGGTTCGAATCCACCAGATGCTCTGCCGGGAAAAGGAGGGACAATCTCTTCCTGTACCAGTCAGATCTGATTTGACGGTACACTCACACAAAAATAAAAAATAAAAAAAAATAAAAATAAAAAAAGAAAAGGTGCACCTTAGTCTTTAAACTGACATCCTTTCTCTTTAGTACTTTAAAGAGGTTTTTCTATTAATCCTTTTCAGTGACTCTAACTAGTTACTAAAGTATGTCCTCAGTGCTAAAGTATTTCACAAGATATTTAGTATCTTACCCTAATATAATCGCTTTAAAACTCTAGCATCAAATTAATTTCAAATGAAACAGCATTCTGAAATTGCTTTGAAAATCACAGAATCCAGATAATTTGCTGCAGATCTGAGGAATGTACTCAATGACAAGAGTGGAGGCAAAGTGAGGAAAAAGTAAAGAGTTGTCCATGAAAGAACCTCATATTCTAGTCTGCAGATTGCTTCTAAGCCTGTAATTAGAGAGCTGGGCAAGGAGAAGAGGTTGTGAATGCTGCTAGATAAGTATGTAATACATAGTGCATGATATTGCTTTCTCCTTTTGCTGCTCTCTCTTCCTTACCAAAAAAGAAGGAAAATACATGTGGGAGAAAAATAAGTACTGAAGAGCAATGGTGTCGCTCTGGAGACTGAGTTGAGTCTGATACAGGCCACGGTCTTCGCAATCACTTGTTATGCATCAGAGAGTTGGACAATGATCAAGGAGGATAGAAGGAGAATTGATGCCTTTGAGCTGTGGTGCTGGAGAAGAGTATTAAGAATACCATGGACTACTGGGAAACAAACAGATTCATCCTGGAAAGGGTTAAACCGGGTGGCTCCTTGGAGGCAAGGATTCTGAGGCTCCGTCTAACATACTTTGGACATGTTGTGAGGAGAGACCGGTCCTTGGAGAGGGACATCATGCTTGGGAGGGTGGAGGGACGGTGCAGGAGGGGAAGGCCCTCTATGAGGTGGATTGATTCAGTGACTGGGGTAATCGGGATGGGAGTGTCAGAGACAGTGCTATTGGCAGGACAGAGCAGAGTTTAGGGCTATTGTACATAGGGTCGCTATGAGTGGCAAGCGACTCGATGGCACATAACAACAGCAACAACTTGCAGTTTATACAAAAGTTAACCATTGAATTCTCCCTGCTCTGTTTCTAGTTTCCTTCAGTTACCTTATGTTTCGGGATCTTTGGCGGCATAGTCCATAGCGAGCCGCTGCTAAGTCTGAGTCTACCAGTGGTACCACTTGTTATTGTTGTTGTATACCGTCAAGTAGAAACTGACTCATAGCTGACCTGCAAAAGGCTTTCAGAGGCAGTTTAACTGCATGGGAGGAGACTGCACATGTTTGTCCTAAGGAGCAGCTGACAGTCGAACTTCTTCATGCCTTTGGAATAGCAGCATTGCTCCTTACCACTAGTTCAACAGAGTTCCCTTGAGCTACTGTTGTTGTCGTCGTTAACTGCCATCAGTATGACTCATAGCGAGCCTGTGAACAAAAGACCTGAACCCTGATTTATAACTATCATTATTTCTCTATGTTCACAGAGTTTCCCGAGGCATGTATTTTAGGAAGTGGACGCCACTCCTGCTTCCAAACCTGAATCAATATGGTAGCTCCACCAAACACTGTCCATGATGGGTAATGATTATGGTGTTTGACACACCTACAGCACAGGGTTCAGCATCAGAGTAACTTCAAGTTACTCCCAGTACAGCAAATAGACCACTGCTGTACCACTTAAAAGAATGTTAATCCCAAAATCAATTAACACTTGGCCCAAAGGCCTATGGTCCAAGGGCTCTATCACCTTTTTTAAATACAGGCACACCCACCAAATGCTGGTTGACTATTAACCAGAGACCCCCGAGCCCATAGTTCATTTTAGCTAAATCTGGCAAGTCGAATCTGCTGACACCAGCTTGTGGGCCTAAAAAGCCAAAACACAACCAAGCATTCTGCTGGGTGAGCAATACAACTCACTACGAACTTTTCTTGTTGTGTACTGTAGAGTTGGGACCGATCCATAGCAGACCCTCCAGTGGATTTTCAGTGGTAGTTAATCGCTTGCCACCAGAAATCCCTAAGTGTAAAGTAGTTGAAGCAAAACTAGAACTGAGTTGAAAGAATCCAATGGTGAACTTTTGTAAAAACTGAAGTAACATTCACATTTACCTCTCTCTCTCTCTGTAAAAACAAAAGTGGCAGCATCCTGAAGTATGTAGTATACACTTGTCTAGTGGCTCTAATGGAGCTCTGGTGGCTTAGTGATAAGGAGTTGCTTACCATTCCAACAGTAAACAGTTCAAATCTACTAGCTGCTCTGAGGGAGAAAAACAGGCAATCTTTTCCCATGAGATTTACTGCCAATGAAAACCTGCTGGAGAGTTTGCTGTGGGTTGGTTTTACCCAAGAAGGTACATAACAACTATTAGTGGCTCTGAGAGAGAGCAAAATGAACTATCTCCTATGGAATTGATAGCCTTGGAAACCCAGCTGAAGGTCAATCAAGAGAGTCGGAATCAAAACAATGAGAAAGTGACTGTAAACAGTACATGGGATATAAAGACTTAGAAAAATATCCATCAACCATGGACAGATTACCCACTAAACAATGTAAGCATGGGCTTATTGTGTTTACTTACTCGTCTGTAGTGACTGTTGTAGGGGGAAGCATGCAAAACCATTCACAACAGATTAGTAAGTAAGCATAAGTAAGCCTGTGCTTGTTCCCACGTTTACTGTACGCTGTCAGGATTTTAAGAAGCTTTGGTTTTGTAGGAAGTTGTGGTAGGATTCGGAGAAGACAAAATGCTAGCTACACCTAGAAACAAAATCTTTGTTGTGATGGAAGAAAAAAGTAAAATTGTTCACTACAGATTAAAACACGAGTAAATCAGAGTTTACCTTGTTTATATCTGACACTACTATCAACACATAGCTCCATCAAGACAGAGGCGATAGCAAGGAAACATTCAGTCACTGAGCTTCAATTCTCCTAGTTCACATTTTTTCATTCACACACCATACTGCAATTAACCAAGCCTCCTTCTTAATGACCACGTCCCTCACACAGCATAATATAATGAGGTTAGCATCAACCCACAGATGCTCCATTATGAAACCCAGAGCGTTTACTTGGGGTGGAGAGTATGTAAAACAATGAATTAGACAAGTTGCAAGCGAGCTCCTTTCTTGACGTCTACCAAAAGAAGACCTAACCAGGTTCCTTCCTTCTCCCTGGCTGCCAGAGCCCCAATGGTTTACTTAAAATTTAACAGCTCCCCAAGAGGATCCTTCAAAAGAAAAGGAATTTCACAATCTTGAACAGGCTCCCTCCTCTTACTTTAATTTTCCCCAACCACCTACACTCTCACAAGAGAACTTTTGTGTACATAAAACTCAGGAAACAAAGCATACAAACACTCACACACAAATAAACTCCCCAAACTCACACCAGCGTATAATTGTGTTTGGGTTGGAGCTTTTCCAGCCCTATCACCCGGTCTCTGTTAGGAGTAAATGAAACCCTTTGCTTTGGTAAAGTTAAAAAACAGACAAACTTTCCTCAGTTTCAAGCTGCACAAGGCTCCCCTCACATCTCTAAGGTCCCCCCAAGCCCACCCCCCCAATGAACTCAATGCAGAAAAGCCAGCAGGGGAGCGAAAACCAAAAACCCCACCATTAAAAGAGAAAACCCCTATTTCAAAAGTAAAGTCCTTTCACTTCTCAATCCTTTCCTCAGCTTCTCCTTTTGGCAGGAGCCACAATGTTTTCAATTTCTGAAAATCCTTTTCAAGGGACTCAGGCTTCCTTGCTGTCTTCAGACGACCAGCTTTCGGCTGTCCTGATGCAAGTAGGAGGCCTCTTCCTAAGCCCATTTTTCATTCTTGGATCAAGACTGTTTTGTTTCTCGAAAAATTTAACAAACGGTCTTTAGTAGGCTGGCTGAGCCAAGTCTTGATTCCTTCTCCCCTACAGTCTGAATCACTGTCTGGTGAGAACAGATCCTGCGATGGGTATTATCCAACCCCGCAAAATCCGTCTCCAACCACTCTGTGAAGGGCGCAGAGAAGCGGCAAAGTTATCTACTACAGTTCACTCTTACCACTCCCATCCATCCTCAACATTCCCTTCCTGCTCCGCAGAAGTCTTCCGGCTCCTGAGAGGAATCAAAAATCCTACCTTCCTTGGAATCCTCTGCTTCTGCGTACATGGTGTCAGGATAACTGGCTGCAGGGGCGATTACCGCTGACATGTACTCGGCGGAGTGGCAAATCCACTCGGCGGCAAAAACTCGCACCAGTCAGAAAATAAAAGGAAGGCAAGCCACTAAAATCAAAACCTCCCCAGGGCGGGAGGGCTGGTTCTGGTGCAGGGATTTTTCAGGAGGAAAGTTCTGCAACGGTGACGAATCGCGTCTCGGCTGCGCGGCAGGAGTCCGCCCCCGGGGCCGCGCGCCTCGGTCGGTCGCTGGGCGGAGGCGACCTGGCCCTGCGCACGCACACAGGTGGGGCCGCGGCCGGGAAGGCAGCCCCCGCAAGTAGAGGCAGCGGCTTGGTGCTGGTCTACACACATAACTGAAACAGGCATGCAGTAGGGGTAAAATGAGTCTCATCTCTGTGGTTTCCTATTGTTTTAAAAACTTATACTGGGGAGGGGGGGGCAGCTTCTGCATCTTTGTGATCCATTTTCCCCCACCCATTTGACTTGCCTTGTCCAAGATCTTACACACAAAGAAAGAGTTTAAACGCTGCTCAGCTGTGCATGTTACTTGCAAAAGTACTGGCCACGTGGATGTTAAGGACCAGCTTCACAAAGCATTGGGAGTGAGCCCAAGAGCGGGTCTTCATAAGATCAGCTGCCTCCTACCCTTACCTTGGCACATTAAAAGCAGACTGAGCCTCTTACTCATACAGACAGCCTAGTCCCTGGCGAGCACGTTCAACTCAAATCCCAGTCTGCCCAGCAGTTACACGAAAAGAAGATCTTAAAACGAAGAACGCTTTACCCTCTGCGTGCTGCGACCAATGAAAGATAAAATTGCAGGGAAGGTGGTAATTCAAACTTAAAATGCTGGTAACATAAAGAGGCTGGAGAACCTTGAGGACGGATCTTAGTTCAGCCCCTGTCATTTACTCACACAGGACAAACCCCTGGAGAGAAAATCAGAACTTTGTAGGGTTTGGAGCACCAGAGACAAAAGCTGCCACTGATACACCTGTCCCATAGAAGTGTTTGCAGAGCAGTTATTTTATTACCAACCTTAGGTAGAAAGTCTTCAAGTCATATCTGAAAGATTGACTTGGAAATTGTAAGCAAACTAACAGCCTTTTAATAAATGTATCTCCAGGCACTCTTTCCTCACTAAAATTGGAGGCATGGTGGTAAATTTATTGAGGGAAATAAATAAAAAATTCAAAGACATTGAATTAAAGTTCAGTTCTGCATTTATTGTTTGTATAATCTTAAGTAAGAATTTCAGAGCTTCCATTTACTTCCTCTTTGGTAAAAGGAGGATTAAAAACAATATTTTGTTTACTTCACAGATTTAAGTTTGGTATTGAATAAGGTACTGTGGTTTGGCAAACATGAATGCATAGCTTAATACAACTCGAAACAAAAAACTCATTGTCTTGAAGTGGAAACTAACTCATAGTTGACTCTCCAGTGGTCTCTGAGGCTATAAATTTCCTGAGAACAGAGTGTCCATTTATCTGAGGAGTCAGAGATAGATTCCAACCTCCAGAGAGGCCTTGGCCTCGGGCTTAGCAGTGTAGCTCCTTAATAACACCACTACTAGAGCTCCCTCTCTTTGTTCAAACTGCACTCCAATGGTTAAGCCCCAGGTTGCTAACAGAAAGATTGGTGGTTCGAATCCACCTCACAGCTCTTGCTAGCAACAGACCTGGAATTTTGCAATCCCAGAGGTGCGCAGTTCAAATCCACCAGATGCTCTGTTGAAGAAGGAGGAACAATCGCCTCCTGTACCAGTCAGATCCAATTTGACGGTACACACATAAAATAAATAAATACATAAATAAATAAAAAGACCTGGAATTTGCTTTTGCAAATATTTCAACCATGAAAACCCTACAGGTTCTGTTCTCATATAAGGTTACTGTGAGTTGAATTTGTTACAAATAAAATCTGTTAAAAATAAAAAATATGCTAGGCATCCTCCAGCCGGCTCCAACTCATAGCAACCTTATCTGTTATAGGAGAAAATGTTCTAGCCGTGCCCCGAGCCATCTACATGATTCTTAGTATGTCTGAGCCCATTGCTGCAGCTCATAGGGTTTCCTGAGCTTTTATTAACCCTCTACTTTATCACCTGTGAGGTCCTTTTCTAGCAACTCATTCTTCCTGATGACATGACATCTCCAAAGTAAGTGACTGAGTGTGTCATCATGGGAAATATCATCTATGCAACAAGATATTCAGGTTTTCTTTCAGTGTCTGTCACTATTGGGTATGAACAGGTAAGAGTGTGATTAGGCGATTTGTAAGCGGTAAATGCTATTATTAATATAAATCCTAGAGACTGCTGAATTATTCAAACAGAATTGAAACTTTATCTCAATTTCTCTAGGAGAAAAAAACCCAATAAAACAGGATAATAAGAAGAGGACATAAATAGCCAGTGAAGAGAACAGTTGCCCGAGGCACAAAGACTTGCTTGAAGCTCAAAGCATTTGAGGATCCAATCCGGACTTGCCAAGGACCCAATGTCCAAGACCCAGTAGGAGTCCAAGCCAACCCAAGCAGAGTCCAACCCTGCAAAGCAATGAGACTGATACCCTCCCTGGCATTCTCCATTAGTCTCTGGAGACAGAGAGCTGGAGTGGTGAGATCTGGAGTGGCCCTCTTCCCTCTGATCCTGGCTGTTCCGTTTACCTTTGAAGATTCTAGCAGAAAACTGTATGCAGAGTGAAAGAGCAGTACTTTGAAAGCCTTGGACAGTCACTACTTTCTTTGACCAGTTGTAAAGTTTCAGTCCTGTGTTTATTCTTTATTTGCTAGGACAATTTTGGGCTGTTTCTACTAAATAAAGCAATAAATGTGGTCTTTTTAATAGTTAAAGAGAGAGAAAGAAGGAGAGAAACAGGGGGAGTTCTGGTGACCTAGTGGCAAGGAGCTGCAACTACAATCCCAGAGGCGAACGGTTCAGTTCCACCAGATGCTCTCCCGGGGAAGGAGGGACAATCTCCTCCTGTACCAGTCAGATCTGATTTGACGGTACACGCACACAAAAATAATAAAATAAAAAAATAAAGAAAGAAATTTAAAAAAAGGAGAGAAACATCTGTAAAATGTCAGTGTTGTAGAGTCTCCTGGAAACTGACCTAGTTTTCATGGGTTAGCCTGCTAACTGAAAGGTGGTTGTTGTTGAAAGGTACTGAAAGGCAGTTTAAATTCACCAGTTCAATTTATCTGTGGGATAAAGAGGGGCAACCTTCTCTCGTAAAGTTTACAGCCCCAGAAGTCTAGTCAGGATGAACTGGATGGAAGTGGGTAGTTCTGAAAGTGGCCCTTTTGCCAGACTTCCTGGTTCAGGAGCTTGAAAGGGGAGACATGATTGCCACCTTAGCTGAAATTCATTCTGAACACAAAGCAGTACCTCCTTACTAACACTAGCCGGTCAGAAATGGCCTTTCTTGTTTGACCAGAAGGATCATTCTGCGGTTCCTCTCCCTCATGCATCTGCCTTTACACTCCACACCAGAGTCCAGATGCACAGAGGGAGTATCACAGGGTTCTACCAGGATTGTGCATGACACAGGTAAGACAGCTCCCACCAGTCCCCAACTGCTGTAAGATCTAAAACCTGCTCAAGGTGATGATTATCTAAACACCAAAAACCAAAAACTGAACTTACTGCTGTTGTTGAAATTTTGACAATTCCATTTCCACACCTGATGGACCCCAGGCAGGCTATCTTCTGCCCTATCCTTACAGAAAGCACCCTCATAAGAAGCATCTATTAAATGTCCTTTAGCAAATTCAATGAGCACACGTGATATGAGGTATGTTACAGTACATGCCCTGATGGCTCTGCCTCAGCTGTTTTGCTTGTTTTAACACTGGGTTCATGAAGCGGCCTTCAGCCCTGCTCAGGTTAGTCAAGGAGAACAACTGCTGAATGAACAATTTGAGCGCCAAGTCAGCCTTGTAATTAAATTTAGAGTCATTTTAGCAGCTCAGTAGAGCCCTGGACATTTCATCAGCAATCCTTAGGAAACCTACAGAGAAATTCCTTTTGTATTTCAATACACCCCAGCAGTCACCTTGAGGAAGAAAGTCTTGATCTAGCCTCAAGAGCAATGAATACACATCTTAATTTGAAAAGAATGTATATGATAAGGACACTACTTCATTGTCTATAAATAACCTCAAAGTTATATGCCTCAGGCAGATGATACAGTCCTATGTCCTCTGGTCTTCTGATTTGCATTAAGCTTATCATAAGACCTTGGTTTTGCAGTGTTTTATACTTAAGGGAGTGAGTTATTTTTAGCTCCAGTGAATAATGCATGAACTGTCTCATGAATCTAGAGACTAAGGTGCACCTGATTCAGGCCATGGTCTTCACAGTTACTTGCTACGTCCAGAGAGCTGGACAATGACTAAGGATGATAGAAGAAGAATTGATGCCTTTAAGCTGTGGTGCTGGAGATGAGTATTAAATACACTTTGGACTGCTAAGACAACAAACAGGTTTGGCCTTGGGAGGGTTAAACCAGGCTGCTCCTTGGAGGCAAGGATTTTGAAGCTCCAGCATCATACTTTGGGCATGTCCCAAGGAGGGGCCAGTCCTTGGAGAGGGACATCATGCTTGGAAGTGTGGAGGGACAGAACAAGAGAGGAAGACCCTGGATAAAATGGATTGACTCAGTGCCTGGAGTAATGGGGGAAGGTGTATCAGAGACCATGAAATTGGCTCAGGATATAGCAGGATTCAAAGCTGTTGTATATAGGGTTGCTATGAATAGGAGTTGACTCAATGGGACATAATAACAACAACATAATGAAGCTTAGTGAATAAGGAGTTGTGCTGTCAACCCAATGGTATGTGGTTCGAATACACCAGCTGCTCTGAGGGAGAAGGACAATTTCCTCCCATGCAGTTTGCAGCCTCTGAAACCCCACTGGATGGTCAGCTAGGACTCAATGGCAATGAGCTGAGTTGAGATCATAATAACTTACATCTCTTATCAATGAGACTTGTCCACTCTTTTATGTGTAAGAAATAGATTC